CCGCTCCCCACCCCAGCTCACCTCCGCTTCCCTGGGCCTGACCGTGAAGCCACAGCCTGCATCTCAGCCCCCCCGGCTTCCCGTGCCAACAGCTGATTCGTGGGAAGCTGGGGTGGGGGGAGGAGAAGCAGAGCGGGGCGGTGCGTTCAGGGGCAGAGGCGGAGCAGAGGTGAGGTGAGCTGGGGCCGGGCGGGGAGCTGCCGGTGTGGGCTCTGCACCCACCAAATTTTCCCTGTGGGTGCTCCAGCCCCAGAGCACCCACAGAGTCGGTGCCTAAGGCACCACTTTTGATGTGATGGGGGGGGAGCGGCCACTCCCCCTGCTCCCCCCCAGCTACGCTCCCCTGCCCCTAGGAGCCAGAGGGACCTGCCGGCTGCTTCCCGGGAGCCCACCCAGGTAAGCACCGCCAGGACTCCCCACCTTGCCCCAGCAGGTCCCTCTGGCTCTTAGGGGCGGGGCGGAGTGGGCACCCACTATGGTGGCCTACGAGACCCTCCTGCCCGGTTCCGGGGACAGTCAGGGGAGGAGGGTGGATAGAGCAGGGGTCCCGGGGGGGGGAAGGGCGGGCTAGGACCCCCTCATGGGGTGAGGAGGGAACTGGTTGTTAAGATTTTGGCAGCTCATCACTGCTTAAAGCCCACGTATTATCACAATGAGATCTCATGGATGATTTTTCTCCAGACCCCCTAGTGCCTCTTCAGTCTCTTCACTCGTCTCTTCCCTTAATAATAGTAAAACCTGAACAGCCAGAAACATAGTGGAATTCCTGTAGAAACTCGAGTGCTTATCAGCCCTGGAAAACTCTGAAAGGCAGTCACTGAAAAATAAATTAAATGGTGTATTCTGTAGCACTTTTTTCTGCATAAAAAATTTATTCTAGCCATAAAAACCTAGGGCAGATTCAACTGCTGGCATTGACAGCTGCTATGTAATAGGAATCTCTATTGCCAACAGTAAACTTTGTTAATTGCAAGAGTCTCTAATCTCCTAAAAAGAAAAGGAGGACTTGTGGCACCTTAGAGACTAACCAATTTATTTGAGCATAAGTTTTCGTGAGCTACTGTTTGTGTGCAAGATGGCCCGTACAGTGACGAGTCTGCCATCAGGTTGGCACTGGTGCACCCCTGGGCTCACATGGGGTCCTGCTGAAGTCAAAGGCTCTAAGCACAGATTCGATTCCAGGATCAGGGCCCAGGATGGCACTTGAAAATGTAATGTTCTCCTGTCTGAAATCTAGGGTGAACATTTGATCTCACCTCCAGACTGTGGTTTTCAGGGGCATCCCCTTGTTGGGATCAGAGTGTGATTTCATTGCATAAAGGTGTATGCAATGCATTGGGGGATCAGCCGTACTCTTCTCCCTCTCCTGGCCCAACCCCCACTTCAGGGACCTAGCTGATCCATGGCCTGGGAGCAGTGCTTAGACCTCCGGTGGGATCATGCCCAGCACCTCTGCCTATGCCTTCTTTGTGTGCTCTTCCCTTACACACGCATTCAGAGCTGGGATCCATGAATCCCTCTTTCTGGACTGTTCTGGTGTTATCAATAAAAGGGCCATCCCTGGGGAGTGCAGGGTCTGGGGCGGAAGTGGCAGATTCGTCTCTTGCAGGACCAACCACGCCGGCCAATCTCACTGGCCTGGGGGGCCCCCCAAAGCATGGAACAGTCACCCCAATTCACCAGCTTTTTAGGACACTGGTCAGTTTCTCCTTGTATTGTATATATGGGATTTACTGATTTAAAGGAGTTGTTTTATCAGTTGGAAAGTGACTCTCTGGGTTAGTTACAAGGACATTGTCACAAAAGGAATAGTGAGCATGCACATTTTACGGTCTAAGTTTATATCTATATTTCCATCCCAGCTAGAAACGCCTTCGGCTGATCTCTCCCAGAAGGTATTGTCCTAGTGAGGAACGCGCATGATCTTGTTTTCTGATCATGCTTCACAGGCAGGGAGCCTGGTGCTAAAGAAACAGCGATTGTGGTAGGAAACCTGCTGCTAAACTTCAGAGTTTTGAGATTCAGCCTTGGGAGCCATTTGGTGATTGTTGGAAGGCGAATGGGATCTTAATTGTCACGGCAATGACAGCGGCCCAGCCAAACACATGCCAGTGGCGATGGGGTACGAAAGGCCAACCTTAATTTATTGCTAAGTGCAAGACAGCATAGAATCAAAGCACTCAGTGGAATCATGCTGGCTTTGACTCTTCACTCCCAGCCCACGTTTCGTAGCAGGCAGGGGGCATTCATCTCGGGTACGGCTGTTCATTTTACCCAAGAAGTCACTGAACACAGGCAAGCCGACAAGAGGAAGAAGGAGGCAGCTTGATACTAGCAGAGAGAGCTACAGATAAGGCCTGCCTCTCAGTGCCCTAGTCTATCTCGCACTGCACAGCAGCCTCTCCGCAGTGCTCCGATGGTCCTGCATCACAGGCCTATCTCCTTCAATGACAGCCAGATGAAAGCAGTCCCATGCGCCATTGCAGCCTTCCACAAAGGCCATCCCCGGATTCTGCAGTTCCGAGCATGTTCCCTGTGTGGCAGGGACGTAGGCCTCTGGCACCCAGGCCTGTCGCATGCTGCCTTGGAGTGTTCTGTGTTAGCTAGCCATGCCCATAAGCAGGGACACACTGACACTGATTGTGTTGGTAACAACAGAATTAGGAGGGTCTCTGAGACTTTTTTGAACATGTGCTTTAAGAACATGAAAAATGTGACACTGCTTCACAACAGCCAGGGAAATGCAAAGTGACGGGCCATGCTAATCTTGGAATAATGGCCTTCTGACAGAACGGCAGCGGCCTTTTGTCCATTTGTGACACTACATGATTAGCATGCCAACTCGTTTCGGTACTTCTGTGTTTTTTATGATTCATTTAAAAAAATCCTTCCTGAAAGGTTCTTTAAAATACACATTATTTCATCCAGGAGATTGGAATGATGACTCCTTCAAATACGTATTTAGATAGACATTGAAAAGATGTTGTTGTCTGAAAATAAATTATACGATTTGATAAATAATACATGTGATTATGTCTGGGTGGTTTTTTTAAAACATATGTTGCTGTTTCCCCCAGCAGATGGGAATGATGCCTTTGCAGCTGCTCCCATCAATCAGGTAAACACGTATTTCCAACAGTTACAGAGAAGGATTCTTGTATATTTCAGTAGTGTGCCTCAAGAACCTTGCAAGCAGTCAGCCTGAAAGGACAATGGAATGATCATATGCAATCGTGGCTAAAGCCAAACTTTTCAAGGGCAGATGCACACTTGGGCTGCAGAAGTGCATGTATATGTAACATCAACAGACCCCCTTCGTCAACAGGCAGGATCGGACCTGGGACCTCTGAAGCTAAATGCATGAGCCTCAAGGCCATGTGCTAAGGCTGTAGCTGACTCATTAATCTCTAAGCGCTCTCAGTGCCACTAGAGGGGACAGAACACCACACCTAGGAGGTGTGTGGGTTACTATAGAGGCAGGGACACTTGCATTCATTGGGAATGCAATCGTGCATGCAGTGGCAACTGAGATGTTGAATTTGACATTATCAGGCTCATTGCCCTACCTCCTGGGGGAGTTGTGAGCATAAATACTTCAGACGAGTGTGAAACACTACTGATGAAAAGCTCTGTATAAGAGGGAGGTATTATTACTATTTCCAATTTACATTCAAGCGTCACTTGATTGCACACATACTGTGTGGTGTCTCTCTCTCTGTATATACACATGCTTTCTCTGCCAATGCATCTTTACCTGTAATTTTTAAAAACATATTCTTAAGCCTTTTTATTATGGACATCTCTCTGTGTCTGCCCATAACCTTTCTGCAGTGCCAGTCCCCATTATATCCAAGGCTCTTTGTGTGTGCGTCTGTGCAGCATGCTGGCCTTTGCAAGTAGGTCAGAGTGCTTTTTTAGACGTGAGCAGCCTTCACCCTCCGTCTATAGACAAGGGAATGCCCTGTCTGACTAGTAAAGGGCGGCGTCGATAGTTATGAATCCTTAGAGCTTACAGCCCTGTCCTGCAGTGGTGGAGGGATGCTGGGGAAACTGGTTGAGAGGGTCTTACTCTGGCAGAAGTTTCACCCAAGTGCCAGAAAAGTACAGTAAGTAGAACTTGAGGAGGGGAGAGGGGAGAATGAGGATTTTGTTTTTTAAATGTTCACCTTCGTAACAGTGACGAGCATTGTTAGGGGAGCCGGCTGTACTACAGAAGTGGCTAGGATGGCACGATGCTTATTGACCTGCAGGTTTGCTACAGAACGTAGTGACATGGACTAGACAGGCGGACATTTTCCATTTTGCCTGGGGAAAAATAACCCCATGAGTTCACATTAATTATTATTGTCAGCAATGTTGAGCAACTGAGAAAACCATGGGAAGCCTCTATCACACTGTGTTTGAATAGCAGGGGTCAAATTCGGTAATCTTTGCAACTCCCTGTAGTGATTGTTTCATTGGAGGAGCAGGAACTACACTATTCTAATGCCCCCCACCCACAGCAGAAGAACCATGGCTGACTGGTTGGGTGCTACCTTCAGAATTGGGAGACCAGGCCCAGTTCCTGGGGACCAGGCCCAGTTCCTGGCCCATACAGACTTATTGTGCTCACACAAGTCACTTAGCATCTCTGGGTATGGCTGCACTGCAAGCCCAGGGTTAGTGGGACTCAAGTCAGCTGACCTTGGGTTAGCAAATGCAGGGCTTGAGAATCTACACTGATTGCTAACCCTAGGTTGAGAATTTTCAAACCCAGGCTTGAACCTGGGCCTCTGGTGTCCACACTGCAGCATGCAGACCTGTGTCCAACCAACCACTTCTCAGACTCCCTAGAGCCAGGGCTTAATTTGTGCCAGGGCTTGCCAGCGCTGAGCTCCAGCACCTCTAGGCTTGGCGGTTCATAGCCTGGCACCTCTGGGCTTGCTGCATCAGGTTTGAATGTTAAAAAAATTCCATGAGCCCCAGCACCTAATTGCTTGAGCCTGAGCCTTTCCTCTTACCTCTCGCCTCTCACCAGGCCTTTCCACCAGCCACAAGTCCCTCTGTCTTTGGTTCTGAACTTGCTTGTTGGCCCTCTCCAGAACTTCAACCATGAGTTCATCACAGAAACACTTGCCTTTGAACGGTCCATGAAAGTATGTTGGCCTGGGCTTCTACTGCAGTGTGGGTGAATTGTGGAGGTCCTGTAGAGGTCGAGGGCTTGGAACAGGACAAGACAGTGGGTTATTGTCTCAAATAGCTCCTTGCAGGCACACACAAACAAATCCCTGTGGAATTAACAAGGACATAAAATGATACTTTTCCAAACTGAACTTCAGTATATTGTGAGAGGGCTGCTTCAGGCCACAGAAGCTCCCTGGGCACAGCCTGGTTAAACACAGCAAAAGAATTGCAGGCACAATGGTAACTTAAAAATGCAAAGCTGCTCTTTTAATTTTAGAAAATTGCAAAACTACTTAGGGCGGGAGGGAGGAAGTAGCTGTCATCAGTGGCTATGCTACAAAAGCTTGTTCTATGATTTCAGGCCTTCCACATTGTTTATGAGAAGGTCATGTGAGACAGTACCAAAAGCCTTACTAAAGTCAAGATACACTACATCTACTGCTTCCCTCCTAGCCACAAGGCTTGTTACCTTGTCATAGACAGCTATCTGGTTGGTCTGACATGATTTGTTCTTGACAAATCTATGCTAACTGTTACTTATCACCTTATTATCTTCTAGATGTTTGTAAATTGATTGCTTAATTACTTGCTCCATTATCTTTCTGGGTACTGAAGTTAGGCTGACTGGTCTATACTTCCCTGGTTTGTCCTTATTCCCTTTTTTATAGATGGACACTATATTTGCCCTTTTCCAGTCCTCTGGACTCTCTCCCATCTTCCATGACTTTTCAAAGGTAATCACTAACGATTTTTCCCATGTTTCTAGCATTAACAGAAAGTCCTTTCTTCCTGCTCTGTGGGTCTGGTATGTCTAGGAATGGCCTTTAGTGTGGGGAATAATTTGGTATTCTTGTGACTGTCTCATGAGTAGCATAAAACATACAGAATTGAAATGATGAATTACAAAAATATTTATCTTTGGGGGCCATTTCCCCACACTTTATTCAGACAAATAGTCCCACTGAGGTCTCCATTCAGTTGAGCAATGTGAACAAGATTTGGCCACAGTTTCAGATGTCTAGAAATTATCCCTGTTCTGTGGGAAAGAGAGGCATAATTTGAATCAGGGGTATAAAAATACAGCACTGTACTGTTGATCTAAATATGTGCTGTTCCACTTCCTAAAGTACTTTGTCTAGGAGCTAACGAATGGCCACACACAGTAATGTAAGTATGATGCACTTTAACATGTTCTAGGGTTCCCTTCATTGTTTCACCAAGTGGCAAGCAAAAGGTGGGACAATTTATCTAAGAGTATTAATAATAATTCCTTAGTTGTCTTGTGGTAGCACTCAGTGTGCTAGGTGCTGTCCACACACAGAGGAAGTCCCAGTCACTGCCCTGCAATCAAAGGACTTCTCTTCAGTAGGTAGTTGGCCAAGCAAAGAGAGGATCTACCTCCATGGCATTCCTCTGTTTTGTCTGTCTGTAATATGGTCACTCTTGAATATCAATTGCTCAATTCCAAAATTTCTGGGATGGTCCTAGGCATCAATAAGCAGAAAGCCTGGTCATTCTGGTGGAAATCAGAAAACAGGAAAAACCTGATTTAGAGGAAAATCTGGTCCATGGGCTGTCTGGTCCTGCAGATAGAAATGTTTCATGTGCTGGGTAACAACATGAAAGAACTCCAGGTTTCTAAAACTAAACTGGCATTTTATTCAGAGAACTATTTACAGAGATGTTGCCACTGCAGCTGGCATTCCAGCCATGTGCACACAGACTGACTTCCTGGAGCATCTTGAAACTTGTGCTCCTCCCTCCAATTTCCATGCAGTTTCTATGTGGAGGATTATCTCTGGTACCCCCTACTGCTAATGTATTACAGGCAGCAGCTTAACATGCTGCTTTCTCTCTGGGTGTATAGTTTGGTCTACAGAAGTATTGAAGGATGCAACTCTCTAGTTTAAATATATTTTAAGTTCAGTTTTAATTAACTAATGGATTTTATCCTTGCAACAACCCTGTAAGGGAGGGAAGTGCTATTATCTCTCACATTAATACAGTGGTATAGCATGCAGGCCATTTTAAACAGGGAAAGGCTTAATTACAATAAACCCTGTTATAAACGGTACATTGTCTAGCAAAAATTTGGTCAAAATCCCCAAAACTGTAGCCAGAATAGTTCACAATTGAATGGTCCTTTGGATTATTAAAGTGATGAATTAAAGCAATTGCTCAATTCAGCTAGGCCATAAAGATTGTGCCAGAAGGTATCCTTGTTCATCTGTTGATAGCAGACTGCATATACTATGGTTTCTGCTGCTGCAGATATTAGGTGTTCTTTAGGACCTAGTCTAATTAGAAAGCAAACACAGGATGATCTGAAGAGAGTCCATAAAAACCAAACTGCCAAAAAGGGCAGCAAAAGTACAAGCTGGCTAATGGTTTATTTAAATTAGGAGGATTCAAAAATGGCAGCATGAGCCGACAGGAGAGAACTCTTCACACTGCCATTGTAGGTGTTAAAATATACTCTTCTGGGGTCTGTTCTGTGAATTGCAAAGTACAATAAAGGCAGCCTGCTGTGTAATGATTTATTCATCTTAGCAGATATTTATTAATATACAAAAAACCCGTTGGTGGTGAGGCTTAACTTCTCTTGGGATCATTATATGGTTTTATGTTGCAATATAAATTACCAGCCCAAATGATTCCAGTGATTCTTATTTGTAAGAAACTGTGGCACAAAGGGCCATTAATTAGCTCATCTGCAACTATGAGAACATTCTGTACCAAAAGCAGCAATTGATACCACAAAAAGGAGTATGTATCTGGGGACACTGTGCCAGGTTAAACGAAACTGCATTGGCTGATGGCAAAAAGATGGCATTTAATGGCAATTAACTCAATAAAAATGACTAACTCCAGTTACCAGAGTTTACTCACCTTAGGGTGAAACCCAGCTTTTGCAGAGGAGCCAGCTGAAAATTTATTGAACCACATAGGAATATAGGAACATAGGAATAGTCCTCTTGGATTAGACTGCTGGTCTGTCTAGTCCAGAGGTGAGCAAACTATGGCCCGTGGGCCACATCTGGCCCGCGGGACCCTCCTGCCCGGCCCCTGAGCTCCTGGCCTGGGAGGCTCCCCCCCGCCCCCACACTGCTGTCGCTCTCCCCCGCAGCCTCAGCTCATGGTGCCGCCGGTGTGATGCTCAGGGTGGCGGGGCTGCGAGCTCTGGGGCAGTGCAGCTGCAGAGCCGGGCCAGACTCTGGGCTCTGGGCTGCGTGGTGCGTGGCTGGCTCCGGCCAGGCGGTTCGGCTGTAGGGCAGCCAGCCACCGGTGCTCCAGGCAATGCGGTAAGGGGGCAGGGAGCGGGGGAGTTCGGGGTGGTGGGCGGGGAACAGGGGAGTTGAAGGAGGGTAGAGGTCCCGGGGGGGCAGTCAGGAAGGAGAGGCGGGGTTGGATGGGTTCTGGGGGCAGTCAGGGAGAAGGTGGTTGGAGGGCCCCGGGGGGGGGGGGGGCATCGGGGACAGGGAACGGGGGGGGTTGGATGGGGCAGGATTCCTGGGGGTGCCGTCAGGGGGCGAGAAGCAGTGGGGGGTCAGATAGGGGGCAGCAGCCGGGCCACGCCTGGCTGTTTGGGGAGGCACAGCCTCCCTAACCGGCCCTCCAAACAATTTCGGAAACCTGATGTGGCCCTCAGGCCAAAAAGTTTGCCCGCCCCTGGTCTAGTCCATGATCCCATCTCTGTCAGGGTCTGGTACCATATGCTTCAGAGGAAGAGGTAAGAATCCCAGTAGTATACAGTTATGGGATAATCTGCCCCCAGTGGAAATTTCCTCCTGACCCCAATATTTAAATGTTGGGCCACACCCTGAATCTTTTGGGGTTATAGCCCTTCCAGAGCTCTTAGGTGTGTTTTTAATATTTACCATATAACACTGGATGTTCCTATTATCCCAATAAATGGCCAATTGTTGTTCAATCCAGCTAAACTCTTGGTCTCACTGACATCATGTGACAATGAGGTCCATTGTTTAACTATCTGTTGTATGAGAGCATGTTTCTTTTTATCAGTTCTGACTGTTCTCTTGTTCTTATGAGACGGGGTGAACAGACGCTCCCATTCTATCCTCTCTAAACCATTGAGTATTTTGTATTTTTTTAATTGTCCCCCCTCTTAAGTGGTACATTGCATCACGGGAGTTGTAGTTTGTGAGCCTGATATCCCTTATGGAATAGACTCCCCACCCTGCCTGGACTATATTTCCCAAAATGGACCCACAATAATGTGATTCCCATGATGGACCATGCAGCTCACGCAGGAGGTTATATTCATTGCGTTATGAGAAGCTGTTGTCCTCCAGGGGGCCCAGCCTATAGAAGAGAATGAGGGGCCCAGACTATAATTTCCACAAGGCAATGCGCTGATAGAGAAGTGAAGTTTACTGGTTTTCTCAACAGGTTCAAAATTCAATGTTTCAGGTCAATCCAAACAATCAAATGTTCTGATTCACCTTGAAATGACAGAAAAGTGAAATGTTGGCTTGTACCCATCTTACCAAGTGATCCTGATTGCTCTGTATCAGTGGCCTGCCCTCTGCACTATTGACCAGTCCCGCATTTTTTGTGACTCACAGCCTGATACCAAGATCTGCTGCTCTCTTCCAATGAGTGAATGATTTCAGGGTGGACTGGAATTCCATTCATCTGAGTTCAGACAAACAAAAACAAAAGAACCCCAGATATGATTATCCTTATTTCTTTATTTTTGCAAAGTAGATTTACATTTTAAATGGAATAAGTAAGTTCAAATAATCAAGCCAATAGCATGTGCCTGTGTTCAGATTGCTTACTTTGCCCCTCAATTCTTTAGACACCCAGATTTGCTGATATACCAGGCACAGGTTAACTAGGTCTGACTGTAACAGGTTACCGAAGAGAGCTTGCATCTGACATGAGCCAATTATTAGAATAGATAACAGGATCCTTTCGAGCCTCCAGCCCTGAGCCACAGAGACAGCTGCTCAGTTAAGCCTTCAGAATCCCTCAGAAGTTTTTACAATAAGGTTCTGAAGTTCATCTTTTTAGAGAAACTCCCATAGTATGATCGAGTTGGGGAGCTTTATTAGTGAAAGTTTAAAAGTTCCAGAATGTCTCAGTGATATTTTAGCATTGAGCCCTAGACTCAGCCATGTAAAAAACCAAGTTGCATGTAGTTCTTTTTCTTTTTCTCACATTCTCTTCAGAAGTTGCTTAGCATTCCTCTTGGAGAGGTCCCTGTTGTAGGACTAAATTTAAGCTTTAAAATCTAAGGGTATAATGACATGAGCAATGAAGAATAGAAGTAACCAAATAGCAAGACTTCACCCTCAGATCCCCAAACCTCTTCAACAGACACCCTCCCCCCCCCACCAAAGCAACAGCTGGTCAGCAGTGCATCAAATTATGACCACCTTTTAAAATGTTAAACCTGGATTTATTGGAAGACCCATGGGAAAAAACACTGTAGAAAAGATAAATAGAATTCAAAAATCTGCAGCAACGATAGATGAGAGGAGGAGGGCATTTCTGGACTTTATAAACATAAATTATGCTGTTAAATGTTTTTGGAAGTCATAGTCAAATAGGGTAAAAAAATTACTGTCATACATGCAATGATAGATCAATGAAATGTATCAAATGAGTATTGAACATGTATGTGTCATAGTGTAATGATATCACCTCTTAATTTAATGATCATTTCTAAAGAGGTCACGTAAAATTATGCCATATTTTTGTACAGTTTGGTTCTCTTTGGCTATCAAGCTGACTTGTACTGATTGCTGAGCCTGGACTTTATTTCCAATGACTATGACAATCGTGTGTGATCTGTGATTACTCCTCTTTCATTTTTGCCCCATATGTAAGAGGCCCTTTCTTCAGCCTTTGCTCAGGTATAAATGCTGTGAACACTCCAGCACTGGGCCCTCAGACTGACATTAAAGAAATTAAACAGAAAACAATCTATGAGCCAAAGCCTGCTGGGTGTCTCTCTAGAGTATCAGGCAAAAGCCTCTATCCCACAAGAAGCAGAGTGCCCTCCTGCATTTTCAACTCCTGGTCAAGAACAAATTGTGTAAAACCAACCTCATTTCCTTCATTGATGTGGTTACTGGCCTAGTGGCTGGTGGGGAAGCAGTAGATGTGATACATCTTGATTTTAGGAAGGCTTCTGACAAGGAAGGCTTCTGACACAGTCCCGTATGACATTCTCGTAAGCTAAATAGGAAGATGTAGTCTCTAGACTACATTACTGTAAGGTGGGTTGAAAGACCATACTTAAAAAGTAGTTATATGTAGCCAGTCAATTCATTTTATCATTGAATTGTGTTATTGTCAGGTGAACCCATACAGTATGTCACAAATACTCAATGTGTGATGAATAGATTTAAGTAGGATAGGAGTATAAGATTGACAAGTATTTAGGAGTGATGAGTTTGTATTAGGTATGTAAGTAAAGCAAGGCTGTAATGCAATAGACTAAGGCCTGTAAGATTTCAGCTTAGCCACACTAGGCCTCAGGCTTAAGGAGCCTAGACATGAGTGGGTGACCCAAGACTGACCCTATGCCAATAAAGCCACAAGATTACTGTAAAGGATGTGCCAATAGTTGATGTTACAGAAAAATAGATTGCAATGTAGCGATCTAGACCTCATGGCACCCGATTGTGATGTCACGGAATGTTCTGTTCTGACCACAGGTTACCTGGGAAACAAGTTGACGTAAATGTTAATAAGATCCTAATAAGAAAAAAGCGGAAATAAGAGAACCACCTATGAAAAGTGGGGCACCCAAAAATTTATGGGGCGTGGAAGTACAGGTAAGGAAAAGGAGGTTGGAGCCCTCATGCATATGCATAAGGTGTTAGGCGTGGTCAGAACAACAAGATAAAAAGGTCCCCTGGTCAGGTTAAAGTGGGAAGATGCTTACGGGAGATCTCACTGGGAAGACCCCAGCAGGAACCACCCCTCTATCAATGACCCCCTGTTGAGAGATCCACCAGACTCCATAGTATCTTTGAGTATATGAGTATGAATATGGCATTAGTTACTGCATGGACACTCGTAGGTTTTATATATTTGTTTGTGATTGTAACCTTAATCATTTGTTTAGCAAAAACTTACAAAAGAGACAAGATTTCTTATTTGTGACTGTGTGCGTAGTCACAGTTTTCATTCTTCATGTGTTCCTAGAGCCTCTAAATCTAAGACCAACCTATTGGTCTTAAAACCATGGCCACACAGGAGTGGGACTCACTATAATTCACCACAGAACTCTCAATTCAATTTAAAATATAAGTTACATATCAATGGTTTGCGGTCAAACTGGGAGTGGGGGTGCATCTGGTGGAGTCCTGGAGCAATCAGTCCTGGGTCTGGTACTAGTCAATATTTTCACCAATGACTTAGATAATGGAGCGAAGAGTATGCTCATAAAATTTGCAGATGACACCAAGATGGGAGGAGTTGAAGGATTTTGGAGAAGAGGATTAGAATTCAAAATGACCTTGACAAATTGGAGAATTGGTCTGAAATCAACAAGATGAAATTCAGTAAAGACAAGTGTAAAGTACTACACTTAGGAAGAAAAAAAATCAAATGCGCAGCTGTCAAGTGGGGGATAACTAGCTAGATGGTAGAACTGTTGAAAAGGATCTGAAGGTTCTAGTGGAACATAAATTGAATATGAATCAACTATGGGACATACCTGTGAAAAAGGCTAATATTTTTTGGTGCATATTAACAGGAGTATTTTGTACAAGACACAAGAAGTAACTGTCCCGCTCTATTCAGCACAGACAATGCCTCATCTGGAGGACTGTATCCAGTTCTGGGCACCACACTTTAAGAAAGATGTGGACAAACTGGAGAGAGTCCAGAAGAAAGCAACAAAAATGATCAAAGGTTTAGAGAACCTGACCCCTGAGGAAAAGTTTTTTAAAAGTTCACTTGTTTAGTCTTGAGAAAAGAAAACTGAGTGGGGGGACTTGATAACAGTCTTCAAATATGTTAAGGGTTTTTTAAAGAGGATGGTGATCAATTGTTCTCCATTTCTGCTGAAGGCAGGACAAGAAGTAACAGGCTTCCTCTGTTGGAAGGGAGATTTAGGTTAGATATTAGGAAAACATTTCTAGCTATAAGGATAATTGAGCTCTGGAGCAGGCTTCCATGGGAAGTTGTGGAATCACCATCACTAGAAGTTTTTAAGGACAGGTTGAACAAACACCTATCAGGGATGGACAAGGTTTACTTGGTTCTGGGCTTGACTTGAGGTCCCTCTAGTCCTACATTTCTGTGATTATTTAAGACAGGGGGCATTGAGGTGCAGCACCTTGTAAGATCAGGTCAAGAACAGCTGATTGCTGCAGGCAGAGGAGAGAAATCCAACTCTCTGGGGGTATGATTATTTTTGGGAAGAGTCTGCAGTTTAATAGCCAGTTCTAAGAATGACATGCATCTGATGAAGTGGGTGTTCACCCACGAAAGCTTATGCTCCAATATGTCTGTTAGTCTATAAGGTGCCACAGGACTCTTTGCCGCTAAAGAGATGAGGCCACTGAGTTAGCAGGTGCCTTATTTATAAATGTATAGAGCAGATCTGGGGGCTTTACATTAACGTAGAGCAATAGAACAATTATTGATGTGATTTTATGAAAGAGCAAAACATGCAGCTACCTGAAAATTTCCAGGAGACGAAAGCTGTTTCTTTCACTGAATGGCATCTAAACACCAAGCCCCAATGACTAGAAATATTGACGGCATTATTAAAATGGGACTTTTAATTTCATATTAAGATCATTTTAAAATTGGCATGCAGGAATTTAATTATGTGTAACCTCCAGTTCTAGCAGTTTGCTGAAATTAGTTTGCAGTTTTCTTTTACACACAACCTTTAAAGTGTAATTTAACATCTTGTATAAAGGGACTAAATGCTCTTAAATTGTTGGTTGCATGGCAATTGCACTGACCTCTTTTAAGTAAATTCAGTACTCGTAGATTACTGTACTCGCAGATTAGCATGAATTGCTACATGGAGAAGTAGCAAACATATCAGGTGGGAGAAGTGCAAGCAAAGCTTCATCCGTATTAATAAAGATTAAGTACACTCCAACCGATGTAAAGCCTGAATAACCCTCAGATACTGAACTAGCAGATTGCAGCGCCTCTCTGCCACTTGTGTTAGGACCAGATCCATGGATGCTGCAGCCCCTTTCCTGCCCCAGCATGGAGCTCTGTGCGCGGGTCATGTGGAAGATGGGCAGCATGGTACTTCTGTCCATGGCTCCTCCATGAATGCACAAAAGGGCTGAAGTCTCCTGGGGGGGTGAAGTGTCCTCTATAGCAGGATTCTGTTCTAGGCAGGTTCTTATTCTGCCATCCTGACTATAAGGTGTGAATGCTTGCTGTCGTGCACTAAGTGACTAACATCTGTTGTGTGGTTCTTTCTGTGGGTCCGTCTGCACAGCAAAGAAAAACCCTGGTCTGCCGGGCTGTTTCATTGCTATGCAGACTCCTGGGCTCAGGCTGGAGCCCAGGCTTTAGGACCCTGCAAGGTGAGAGGATCCCAGAGCTTGGGCTCCAGCCCAAGCCTGGAAGTCTACACAGCAGTGAAATGGCCCCACAGCCTGAGCCCTGCAAGCCCGAGTCAGCTGTCACAGGGCAGTCAGGGGTTATTCTTTGGTGTGTAGTCATACCCTGTGTCTCATCCTCTTCCCAGGGGGAGAGGTGTGTGTGCAGGGAGCAGTAGGTTTTTTTAATAAACATGTTATTACAAGCTTACAAGAAGTGGAAGGTTGGACATATGACCAGGGAAGAATATAAAAATATTGCTAGGGCATGTAGGAATGAAATCAGGAGGGCCAAATTGCACCTGGAGCTGCAGCTAGCGAGAGATGTTAAGAGTAACAAGAAGGGTTTCTTCAGGTATGTTGGCAACAAGAAGAAAGCCAAGGAAAGTGTGGGCCCCTTACTGAATGAGGGAGGCAACCTAGTGACAGAGGATGTGGAAAAAGCTAATGTACTCAATGCTTTTTTTGCCTCTGTCTTCACTAACAAGGTCAGCTCCCAGACTGCTGCGCTGGGCATCACAACATGGGGAAGAGATGGCCAGCCCTCTGTGGAGATAGAGGTGGTTAGGGACTATTTAGAAAAGCTGGATGTGCACAAGTCCATGGGACCGGACGAGTTGCATCCAAGAGTGCTAAAGGAACTGGCGGCTGTGATTGCAGAGCCATTGGCCATTATCTTTGAAAACTCGTGGCGAACAGGGGATGTCCCGGATGACTGGAAAAAGGCTAATGTAGTGCCAATCTTTAAAAAAGGGAAGGAGGATCCTGGGAACTACAGGCCAGTGAGCCTCACTTCAGTCTCCGGAAAAATCATGGAGCAGGTCCTCAAAGAATCAATCCTGAAGCACTTACATGAGAGGAAAGTGATCAGGAACAGCCAGCATGGATTCACCAAGGGAAGGTCATGCCTGACTAATCTAATCGCCTTCTATGATGAGATTACTGGTTCTGTGGATGAAGGGAAAGCAGTGGATGTATTGTTTCTTGACTTTAGCAAAGCTTTTGACACGGTCTCCCACAGTATTCTTGTCAGCAAGTTAAAGAAGTACGGGCTGGATGAATGCACTATAAGGTGGGTAGAAAGTTGGCTAGATTGTCGGGCTCAACGGGTAGTGATCAATGGCTCCATGTCTAGTTTGCAGCCGGTGTCAAGTGGAGTGCCCCAGGGGTCAGTCCTGGGGCAGGTTTTGTTCAATATCTTCATAAATGATCTGGAGGATGGTGTGGTTTGCACTCTCAGCAAATTTGCGGATGATACTAATCTGGGAGGAGTGGTAGATACGCTGGAGGGCAGGGATAGGAGACAGAGGGACCTAGACAAATTGGAGGATTGGGCCCAAAGAAATCTGATGAGGTTCAATAAGGATAAGTGCAGGGTCCTGCACTTAGGACAGAAGAACCCAATGCACAGCTACAGACTAGGGACCGAATGGCTAGGCAGCAGTTCTGCGGAAAAGGACCAAGGGGTGACAGTGGATGAGAAGCTGGATATGAGTCAGCAGTGTGCCCTTGTTGCCAAGAAGGCCAATGGCATTTTGGGATGTATAAGTAGGGGCACAGTGAGCAGATCGAGGGACGTGATCATTCCCCTCTATTCGACATTGGTGAGGCCTCATCTGGAGTACTGTGTCCAGTTTTGGGCCCCACACTACAAGAAGGATGTGGATAAATTGGAGAGAGTCCAGTGAAGGGCAACAAAAATGATTAGGGGTCTGGAACACATGAGTTATGAGGAGAGGCTGAGGGAGCTGGGATTGTTTAGTCTGCGGAAGAGAAGAATGAGGGGGGATTTGATAGCTGCTTTCAACTACCTGAGAGGTGGTTCCAGAGAGGATGGTTCTAGACAATTCTCAGTGGTAGAAGATGACAGGACAAGGAGTAATGGTCTCAAGTTGCAGTGGGGGAGGTTTAGGTTGGATATTAGGAAAAACTTTTTCAGTAGGAGGGTGGTGAAACACTGGAATGCGTTGCCTAGGGAGGTGGTGGAATCTCCTTCCTTAGAAGTTTTTAAGGTCAGGCTTGACAAAGCCCTGGCTGGGATGATTTAATTGGGGATTGGTCCTGCTTTTGAGCAGGAGGTTGGACTAGATGACCTCTTGAGGTTCCTTCCAACCCTGATATTCTATGATTCTATGTATTGTGCACTCTGCTCTGTGTTTATATTGGAGAAGGCAGGTCAGAGAGATGCACGTTGCACTCGGAGCAGGAGGTGGTGAGGTTTGGGATGGTTCCTTAGTTCCAGTGGGAGTTGAGTTGAAAGTCTTGGCCTAGCCCCAGATAAAATTATCTCCTACACAGATGAGCTATACCCTTGTGGTATTATTGGTATTACCATAGTGCCTAGGAGTCAGAGTCATGGACTAGGACCCCATTGTCGTAGGCGCTGTACAAACTCAGAATAAAGAGACAGCCCCTACCCCAAAGAGCTTCCAATCTGAGTATGACATGAGACAAGAGATAGGGAAGTACATGGAGACAATGAGGCAGTACTGGTCAGCAGGCTAGGCCGTGGTCTCAGCTCACCAGCCACCCATCCCATTGCCAGGTTTTTGGGAGGACTCATGGCACAGGAGTTTTAAGGAGGGTGTTGAAGGAGCATAATGAGGGAGCTTTGTGGCTGTTACAGGGAGCTTCTCCCAAGTGCGAGGGGCAGCAGAGGCGAATGCGAGAAAGTATTTATTTGAATATTTAATAAGTGAGTGATGGACCAAGTGAGTGATGGACCAATAGGAGGTGAGCATGGACAGATTGAGAGCAAATGAGAGAGGATAGGTAGAGTGGGAATTGACTGTGAAGAGCCTTGGATAGGCAGAAGAGGGGGCCAGGAGAGGGAAGCAAACAGAGAGGTGATATGGTCAAAGTGACAGGCTAAGAAATTAGAAAGACGAGGTGTGTGAGGTGATGTCTTTTATTGGACCAACTTATGCTGGTGAGAGAGACAAGCTTTTGAGCCACATAAAACTCTCACCAAGAGAAGCTGGTCCAATAACAGACAGCACCTCACCCACTTTGTCTCTCTATTATCCCGACACAGCTACAGCTACACTGCGTAGGCTAAGAAACGATATTTGCAGCAGCATTTGCATGGATGTGGGGCGAGGTTGCATTTCTCAAGAAAGGGAGTTACAGTAATCATGATGCAAGATGAGAGTCTGGTTGAAAGTTGGAGCTGTGTGGATGGATAGGAAAGGCCGTATCCATGGCTACTTCTACGCTGGGAGCTAGGGGAATGAATCCCAACCCTCCTGGATTCTGTGGGTATGTACTCAGGGAAGCTAGCCTGTGTCACTGCTCCCATGGCCCATACTACCATATCTACATGACTACCATGTTCAGTGTGCTCGCTTAATAATAGGTAGTGCAAGTATATCTGCCCAAGCTGGGAATCACACCCTCAGCTCCAAGGGTAGATGTGGCTTTCGAGATGTTGTAAAGAAAGACTCTGCAAGACTTACCCTGGATGTGAGGACATAGACAGAGGGCTGAGTGGAGGATGATGCCCAAATCATGGGCCTGAGTGAGGAGGAGGATGGTGGTGGTGTCCTTAGTGATCGAGAAAGAAGGGGTGGGGAGGCTGTGCGGGTAAAGATGAGGAGTTATATTTTGACCATGCTGATCTTAAGTCGCCAGTTGGACATCCCAGAGAGATGGTTTGGAGTGGAGAGGTAGGTCGGTGAATCGTCCACATAGGGGTGGCAGTTGAAACTGTGTTTGTGGATGAGATTACCAAGAGACAAGGTATAAAGGGAGAAGAGAAGGGGACTGAGGATGAAGCTATACAGAAAAGTGGAGCAGGGATGAGGAGGATCCTCTGCAGGAGTACGCTGAAGGAGTGATTCGAGAGGGAAGAAGTAAAAGGGAGACCAGAGTTGTGGAAACCAAGGGAAGACGTGATCCCAAGAAGAATGTGGTAGATGGTTGAAAGCAGCTGAAAGGTTGGGGAGGATGAGGATGGAACAATGACTCTGAGCTGTGGCCAGGAAGACGTCATCAGAGCCTTTGAGAGCCACCTCTGTGGCGTGGCAGAAAGTTCCGCTGGACCTGAGGAGCAGAGTTAACCACGATCCTCATTTTGGAGTGTTAGGTGAATTTTTAGATATTCTAGGCCCAGGTAATTTGGCACCCGAGAGATAACTTGACTCGATATTCTATAGGGAGTTAGTGCAGAAAGCAGAGTACAGGTTTGATGTGCTCACAGTAGCTGCGTTGCCTTGGAGATGGACTCTGAATTAGCTGGTGTTTCCTCACAGCTGAAGGCTTCATGCCCCAGTATATTGCACTGCTGCAGTCTAGCCAAGAGATAATGAACGATTATATAACTGAGGTCAGGTCATTATCCACTGGGATGTGATGGAGTGTCCTAACCCCCACAGACGGTAGAAAAAGTTACTCCTCAGAGATGCTGTTATAGCTGAGCATTATGTATTCCGTGACCAATAGGTACAAAAATTGGGATTCACACAGAATTAAACAGCAGGGAGATTAAAGGGAAGGTGTGCTCAGTTTTTGTGTCATAAATTAAATAATTTTAATTTAGGAAATGGTGATTCACACCTCTGAGAGTTGATGCGTAATTTTTAGGCTATGAAAAATATTAATTAATTGAATTATTCTTTATTAATGCCACATGCATATCCTATCTCGAGGCACACTGACAACAAAATATTTAAAAACTTATAACTTTTATGTGATTTAATTTGACTTACTCGGTGACGTGAGACTGGAGTCCCATTGTGCTAGATGCTGTACTTTCAATGCAAATGCCGATCCTTGACCTGAGGAACATAACATCCAAATAGACAAAAATGGCAGTTAACTGAAGCACCTCACAAGGAACCAATTGGTGTGAATGACTGAACAATTGGCTATTTGATAGTACTTAAATTCTACTGTTGTAAGGCCAAATGAATTCCTGTTTTCAAAGCATGTTGAGTTTCTTTGATGTCTACATACTAGTAATTAACTTTCCAAGATCCAAACTAAAAGAGTTAGTCAATGTAGCTGATATTTGTCGAACTTTCGGAAACTTTACTAAAAATTTCTCCCGAGAAGCCTCCTATATGTGTCTGTTTCTGTTTCTTCAAGTTGTCTCTATTGTGAATTGCACTGCAATGGATTGGGTGTTGGAGTGATTTTTGACAAGTAAAAATAAGCTTTGGATGTGCCTCCCTTCTGTGTTAATGAACCACTCTCGTCATTTGAAAGTAAAAGACGTTTTACTTATGGTGAACATGAGAAAAATGGTATAGGCAAAAACAAAATAGTCTTTTCCTGAAACCAGGAAAAAATTGTTAGCTTTGCTTTCTGCTCTGTGCTTTCTGTAGCTCCAGACACCTAAGACAGTTTACCTTAAGCTTTTTGCCAGATCAATATTCTGTACTCTTTAAACTTTCCTCCAAAGAATCTGTATAGGAATACTTAACCTACAATATTTACTTAAAAGTAGTATTTCCTTTATCAAAGGCAGATTCTAAAAGCCAGACATGCCTGAGAGGGATGAAAGATATGCTCTTAGAGAATCAAACCCGATTAAAAAAAATAAATCCAGAATCTTAAATACAGGTGGAAAAATAGAGGCATAGCTAGAGAGGGGAAAGTGAAGTGACAGAGAAAGGGGTAGAAAAGAAGGAATAGAAAAGCACAAATTAATCCTGTTTATTTAATACACTTGATACCAAAATATTACAGAGAAAGTATGTCCCTAAACAATGTATGTATGTAAATATGTCTCAGCAAACCTTTGAGGGCCATTCAGAATTCACCCCTAACGTGGGGATTAATGCTGCAGAGCGGAGCCTCATTCTCAGGCAAACCAGGCAGGCAGTGCAGAACTGTAAGAGAACATATAATATATAGTTTATTTGTGAAACTTTATTTTTCTCTCCTTGCCAGTACAAGTGTGTAGCTCTTGTTTAGCTTCTGCGCAAAGAAAGGCCATGCTTGGCTGAGATATCCGGGGTCACATAGTCCTCTAAACAGACTGTTCTGCTGAGGGACATTTGGAATTTCCATCTGTCCCAGGGAAAGTCTGAGATTTCAATGTTTCTTTTCATCCCAAGTGGGGACAATAAATTGAAATAGCCAAATTTTTTGTGGAACAACTTTCTACTGAAAAATTTTGATTTGGAAATGTCCAAACATTTCATTTTGACGCTTTCAATTGAAACAAAAAAATTGATCTTTTGAAATGAAAATGTCCCATTTTGGTTTGTTGATTTGGCCTGAAATGCTTTGTTTCAGGTTAGAGTCACCTGAAATGAAATAATCCATTTTGATTTTCCCAACAGAAAATTGAAAATTTTCAGCAACACTGAAAATTCCCGATCAGCTCTGGCTACAACTAGGTACGGGGACAGAACACTCAATGGGCGTGGCCTTGGGATGTCCAGCTGTTACTCACTTGGGTGGGAAGAGAGTGGAGTTTGTACTGCTTCCCTCAATCCCACGCCACAGAGCAGGCAGGGAAGCTGGGTTCCTGGAGATCTGTGGGGAGTCGGGAACAGTTTTATGAAGGCTCTGCATGAGCCGTTGCAAGAGTTGTTCCCATGGTGCCTCCCAAAATCCCCTCCTCCAGGAGTGGGAAAGCTGATTTTATGATGGAGGAACTGGCAGGAGGAAATGCATGTGGAGTCAGCATTGACTTGTGTAGGGAATGGCAAGTGTATGATGCCCTGGAGAACAGCCACTACTCTCCGCCTGTTTGAGGAACACCTGAAAAGGGGCTTTCACAGGACTGGAGCAGAAGGGGTAATAGGCTGAAGAACCATCAATCCCTCCCACCCTCATGTTCACTGTTGTCATTTAACATTTGAATTATAGCAGTACCATCCACACAGATGTGCTGCTTTCAGCTCCATGCTCCCAAGGGAGGAGTGGGATGCATTTGCTCCTCATTTTGATGCTAAAGGTTTGCAAAGTTGGGTGTTCAGGTGGGTAATTGTTTGATCAGCACACATAATTGTGAACTTAAATATGGGGTTGCGTTTTGGCACACAGAGTTTTGGTGTATGCAAGCAGGTTTCTACCTTTGGTAATCTTGATCCTTAAATTTTGGGGGTGGGGGAGTTTAAGATAAAGAAACACAACAGAGCTGACTTCTGTGGCAATATTCTCCCTCCGCTGTGCTTTTGGGATCTGAGGGGTTTGAGTGTTACTTGCACAGACATCTGCATTTCCAGCTACTTCTTAATAGGCAGCAGGTTTGAAACAAACAAAAGGAAGTATTTCTTCACACAGCGCACAGTCAACCTGTGGAACTCTTTGCCAGAGGATGTTGTGAAGGCCAAGACTATAATAGGGTCCAAAAAAGAACTAGAAAAATTAATGGAGGATAGGTCCATCAATGGCTATTAGCCAATATGGACAGGGATGCAAAACCATGCTCCGAAGTGTTCCTAACTTCTATTTGCCAGAAGCTGGGCATGGGCGACAGGGGGATGGATCACTTGATGATTTCCTGTTCTGTTCATTCCCTCTGTAGCACCTGGTATTGGCCACTGTCTGAAGACAGGGTACCTGGCTAGATGGACCTTTGATGGACCTTTGATACTGGGCTAGATGGCCATTCTCATGTTCTCTAAACTGAAGTGAAGACCCAAACCTTTTTAGGTCCATGAATGGCTGTGAGTAACACACATGACTCACTGGAGCAGATTCTCCCATCCTTATCCAGGCTGGGTTGGCTTGCAGAGCTTTCAATGAAATTGAGGGGTAGAGCTGGTCAAAACATTTCCCACAAAAAAATTTCCAATCAGAAAATAGGGTTTTGTCAAAATTTTCTCTGGGGAAAAATGTTTATTTAGTTAATCATTTCTATTTTGTGATCTGGAAAATCAAAATGAAAAACGTAGTGGCATGGAAATGTCCTGTTGACATGTTGTTCCAATTGACCATTGTCAAATTTTCCATGTCAACAGCTCCCATTCAAAGCTTCCTGGAGTTTTGTTTCATGAAACTTTTGGTATTTCAACATGCCGTTTCGGGTGGGAATTTCAAAATGCTGAAATTCTCCTGTGAAAGGAAGGTTCTGTTTTTTCACCCACTGTATCAGAGCGTGCTCACTCAATGAAGTGCATCTGGGCAGGCCTGGAATTGGCATCTCCACTGTAGAGTGGGAGGAAGAGGTTCACAGCCTGGCTAGCTGTGTTACACTTTACTCTGCGCGTACTCTTGTTCTCAATGAATGTAACCGCTTGCAGAGTGAGGTACTACTCACTGTAAGGACAGCACAACTGGGCTTGACTGATGGGATGAAGGTGATGATTTAAACTGAACCTTGACAAGGGAAGTGTCTCTCCGTTGGCAATAACATTGTCTTTGTGTTTCACTCCTACACTTTTATGTTGAGAATGAGGCACGGACTCATAGAATCATAGAAGATTAAGGTTGAAAGAGACCTCAGGAGGTCATCTAGTCCAACCCCCTGATCAAAGCAGGACCAAAAGATCTGCTTGGAAAAGCTCATATCTCATTATTAAATTTTCCTGTCTTTTATACTTAATGAGTTTAAATGTTTATTTATAGTGCCTCATAGGATCAGAAGCATCAAAGGAGATGCTGATAAATCAGTGCTCCCACAGCCATGCAAAATTAAAGTTCTCCAAGAGAAATGCTCAGTTGTAATGAAGCCTTTTGTATTTTCCAGCATTTTCACATTTTAAGGAGAAAAACAGTATTTCAGTTTTCCAACAGGAATTTTAACAGGTTCTTTCTTGTCAATATGTAACATGGATTTTAGACTGTTTACGAGGAGAATAAGATTTACCTTCTGTCTTTGTTTCACCTCTAAGCACATGCCCTGTGGGGTGTGATCAATACGGCACTATTGTTGAGCACATGGCATTGAACGCACAGCCAGTGTAGCTTGGAGACCTTTAAAAAACTGAATGCAGAAACCAGGAAGAGAGTGAAAATATACAGAATCAGTGTTTATTTCCCCCTGTGATGTGAATGCAGTCGCTTCTGCTAGGGAGGAGTGATTTCAGCCCAAATGTTCACAAGTGGGTACTTAAACTAATGCACTTTAAGGCCATATTTAGGCATCTAAATGACCCATAGGCCCTACTGTCAGAGGTGCTGAGCACCTCTGGCTCCCATTGGAGCTAATGCTGAGGTGGATTCTCAAATATGGACTTCTCTTCCTAACTTTGGCACATGATAACAACCCCTAAATTCTATGAGATTGAAATGTAAATCCAGATTAGGGATCCTGCAGAGGAATTGCATATCTGCTGGAGCTCACTGTGCTGCTGGCCAACCAGATGCCAGTCCTGCCAAGGCCTCTAGGCCCCAACTGAACAGTGACGAATGCACAGCTGGAAACGGTCTGGCTCCCCTGTGTGTTCATATTGTTAAAATAGGTATTTGATTTATGCAAATGTGTTTAGACTTTATGAAATGTTTGTATGTGCTGCATGATCTAATCTCACTTACAACATCTTCACCCCATGTTATAAGGTATAGTGAATGTGTTGGAGCAGAGTTTTGATAGCCCAGAGCCCAGTATCATGTTTAAACCACTGTGAGCGGCTGGCATACCGATTGTTACGTCTATTGCCGAAAGCAGCTAGAAGGAGGCCTTTCTGAAATCTTAGCACATCTAACAGACCAGGACGGGAGGTGAAGTGAGTGACCTCAAGGAATAAACATGACCCTCTGCCCTCCTGACTTGAGTTGCTTTTCCGAAGCATGCGGTTTTTGCAAGATGGAAAATCTAGCAATTGTGAACTATTGCTCTACATCTGGTTAACTGGTGGAAAATTCCCCTGCCTGACTGATGGAAAGTTGCCCACCAGACAGTCTGGAGAGCTCTCCCCTTAACTTAGCGTCTGCTCAGCAATTTTGTTAATGGACAAGCTACGTAATACTAACAAGTTAGATATAAAAAGAGGAAGAAATCTGAGCTTGATGGACACTTGCATGCTTGGCCACCTCTCAAGTTCCCCTGCAGACAACGACCGACCACTGGATGTTTGCAGTTATCCCCTTAAGACCTCCTCAAGACCCTGGGTAAATATGCATCTGGGATCTTTTGGGGTGTTTTACTAACCTGCTGCGGACATGTGTAAGTGCTTAAGACTAAGTAAAGTATAGCTTTAAGTGAGAGCACTCTTGTGTTGTCCTGCTTGTGGCAGTCAGATGGCTGTGTCTCCTTTGATTTATTTCCTGACACCACCTTGCACAAAGTAAAGTTACCAAGAGCTTTGCATTGAAAGAACCCCAGGTAACAAGTGTTTGCACTGTAAACCTCAGTGACTGTGTAACTTACCAAAGAGGAAAGAAACATTGATAACTTTTGCTGGCTTCCTACAGAAGGTGTTAGGTGCGGCACACAAGAAGACCCATTGAATCCAAATCACACCATTGAAACCACTGTGAAAGAGCAAAGGACAAAGACTTTGTTGGTTGCTCCCCTGACAACCATGAGGAGAAGACATGGAGGTGGACTCTGCAGAAAGGGAATAAAAATCCCTGACCAGACGAAACTGGATCTCTGTGCTGCTTGGACTTTGGAAGGGCAAGATTTCTAAGCATAAGCAAGAGATCCCCAGCTGCTTAGCCTCAGTTAGCCCTAAAGGACATATAGTGCTTGCACATTACAGCAGCTTTTATTAACTTTTGGGAAAAAAAGACTGTAACTCTTGTGTGTGTGTTTACCTGCTTTAACCTTGTAAATAACTCATTTATTTTTCTTAATTAATAAATCTTTAGTTAATTTATTATAGGATTGGCTACAAGTGTTGTCTTTGGTATAGGATCTAAGGTACAATTGACCTGGGGTAAGGGACTGATCCTTTGTGACTGAGAGTAACCTAAATATTGTTGTGACTTT